AAATTACATATGACTTTTTATAACCAGCTTTAATCACTTAATAATTTATACATACACACACATATTCATAATTATGAATACTATACCATATCATTAAACATGCTAAATATATGTCTTTTGAAAACACAGGTGTTAATGGTTTTAGTATATGGTTATACCAAAAATAAGTTGTTTAATCCCTTATTCTAAGATACTTAGTTGGTTTCCAAACTTTTGCCTATGTTCATTCACATAATCACTATTTACTATGTAGTCACTATTTCTGCGCCAGGCATTAGGGATCTAATAATAAATAAAGGGGCCCTACCCTAGAGAGTGCTAGGAGCGCTTGTAGTAAGGGGAAAGGAGCCCAGCCAAGTCTGGGCAGTGAGGAAAGGTGTTCTAGAAAAAAGTACATTTAAACTGAGATCCAAAGGATGAGTGGCAAGGATAGAGAAGAGTGCTACAGGCAGAAGGAAAGTATACAGGAAGGCCAACAAAGATGGGCATTTCAGAGAACTGAAAAAGACTCCTAACAGCTACACCAGAAAGAAAGGCTGAACAATAGAAAATTTAACACAGAATGAAGGGCCTGTCTTTCCCAAAGCATAATATATGTACTGCTGGTAACTGAGATAACGAAGATATGTGTAGATAACCTTTAAAAAAATTTTAATAGCTATGTATTTTACTGTGAACTAGAAAAAAGTCTACACATTAACCTGCAATTCCCTGGATATTAACTTAGGACAAGGATAAATTTTTAAAAAATGAATTATTTTAAAGTCTATTTAAAGATAAATATTAAGTAAATAATAGTTCACACACTATGTGGATATGGCAAAAATTGTGGAAGATAACAGAGAAATGACAGAATGAACCATGGTAAGAATTATAGACTCTGTACAGATGGCTAGAAAAATCACTAAGGAGTTTTAAGCAGGGGATTTATATGATTAGATTTGCCACCAAAGAGCCCCCTTGTCACAGTGCAGAAAAAGACTGATGAAGAGGAAAGGGTATAAAAGTATAGTTCTAGGACACCAGTTAGGAAAAGGTTGGCAGAAGTCCAGGTGAGAAACAATGGTCATGTCTGGAAAAGGTCATGGGATTAGAAAACAGTAGGGGAATTAAAAATATATTAAAAAGGTAAACATCAGTAAAGAATAACATATAACCATGTAAACAATAGCACTATATATTCTGATGCTATGTTACTTAGCACAAAAAGATTCCTGATTACATCTTTATTGTAGGTTGCAACATTTA